GAGCTCTGCTGGCCTCCAGCAGATCTTGATGCTACAACACGACCTTTGGCCTTACAATGAACTTCATCTGTATTAGGATTCTGCATAGCTGCCCGTGACCACCTTCTGACTTTGTTCCACGAAAAAGAAAAAGAGGTAAAATGTTCAGTTCATTGACTTCATAAAATCACTAGCATTTCTTCCTTTCAGGTAAAACCTTAGGGTAAAACCAATTTGAAAAAGACTGAGATAAAATGAGGGCTATGAAAATAAATGATACAAGTTTTGTCTGGAGAAGAAAACATACTGATGCACAAAACTAGTGAGATTTGCAGTCCAAAAAGTTTATTTCCCTGTGAGTTATGGTTGAATTAAACTTAGAAGTTGACTGGAAACATTTGTGGACTAGGTGAACTACAAAAGGAAGAAAACAGTTTTCTCTGCCTTTTCAAATGGAAAGGAACACAAAAAAAAATGTTCCATGTATGTCTAAGTTTATACCCACACAAAGGTATAATAGGAAACCAGGCTTGTAAGTTTGAACTGTTCCGGATTTACTCAACAAAATGATAAAGAAATTAAAACAGAGACACTGGGACAGTATGTCGCAACTATACATTATATTGCAGAGGAGATTTAACTTATCTTAAAATTCAAGTTAAGAACTGGAGTTACAGTAGTAGAAGAAAACAAAAGCAGATTGAAGGGGCAACACTCTCAGGTCTATGAATAACACTTTCATTGATGGAAGAGATTGATTCATCTGTAGGAGAGGAAATTTTTCCTTTTCTGTGTTCTGTTTTCAAGAGATCAAGGAAAAACTGCCAGCAAAAGAGACATTGTGAACCTGCTATTAAATGCTGTGAATTAGGTTATTCTAAGCCAGACAAATACAAAGTCAATCAAGCAGTAGTCCAGATACATTGCTTAGGAATAAATCTTACTCTTACTCAGCTAATCTGTCAAATCTTGGGAATAAACGCCGAAAGTTACTATTCCCCTTAACTCCCAGCACCCTTTCCAGGAAATAGTGGCCTCTGTGGTAAGGCTAGACAAAGACATGTGATAAAAGAAGTTAACAAAATTATTAAAAGAGAATTTGAATTATTATTCAAAGAGAATAATATGAGAAACAAGGAAATACCCAAGAAATATGAAGCATCCAGACACCTTTGAATTGTCATGGAAGAACAGAGGCTTGTTTTCATTGTCTCTAACAGAAAATGCAAATGCAAGTATAAAGGCAAGATATACAGTCAAAATTAAACTTCAGCACCAGTTGAAGGAGGTTTTTCAGGAAATAACCCAAATTGTGTGACAAATTCACCATTTTCACTTCTCAAAGGAACCATTAGTATCTGGTGAAAACTCTGGGACACAACCAGTTGTGTATAGGGAACAGAGATCTTGAAGATGTACAGCAAGAAAATCTAGCCAGAAGAGCAGAAATGGTTTAGAGAATCCTTATGAAAGGAAAAGATTGGAAAAACCTAAGGCTGAGTGACTTTTTTTGTGGTTTAAATGCTTTGCACCCGAGACGAGGGTAACAGCTCCAGGAAGTCCTAACAGGAATGACTACTGAATGAGCAGTAACGAACAGTTTAAAAGCAAGATGTAAATGATTAAAATTAAAAGGGCCAAAAAATCACTTTAAAAGATTCCCCAGAAAAGATACTAATAATCACATATTTCCTAGCTATGTGTAAGCTGATAACATTGGTCAGGTTAGACCCATAGTCACCTAACACTGTGATATTCTACACAAAAATAGGAGGAGTGCAAATTAAATTAATCAGGTACAGAAGATGCACTGTCTATTGACAAGATGGTAGTGAAAATGTTCATATCCAAAAAAAGAATCCCAAGGGACTGTGGAGAGATTACGTGATGGTGTTTGATCTACACCCACATTTCTGCAGGTGGAAAACATGGAGGAAAAAAAGCAGGGGCGGAAGGTCTCTATGGGACCCCTGGGGTTTACTGTGGAAAATATCATTATCACTACATAAAGGATAATCTTAAACTCTGTGGCATGCCAGAGAAGATAATCTAGCTGCAACAAAGAGCATCAACATCTCTTCAAGTGATGTTCATGTGCAGCTTGGGCTGAACCATTTCCAGAAACAAAGGCTGAATTAAGAGTGGGGATGCAAAATAAGTGACAAAGCTATTGACATGTTGTCTCCTGAAGAGACCTACAGAGCTTGTCACTTAAACTGTCAGCAAAGATGTTAGCATGCAAAACTTAGTAGGTGCCATCAGCTTCAAATACTCCACAGTGACCACTTCTGGTCAGTTAGTACCCATGTCATTCTAGCTATGTTTTGCCACGTCTTGGCACATTGGGATAAGATCGGACTCTGGGAGAATAGAGAGCTTTAGGCAAGATGATCACCACTGTAGAGCTGAAAATGTAAAAGATAACTGCATGTCTTTAGATGGAAAGAAAGATGGAAGTTGAATAATAGTGAAGATACTGTGTTTACTGAGCGTGTATTTATTGTATACCCCAGCTAAAATATCGGTGTTCATAATGACTAGGAAGAAAAGGCTTTATAATGACTAGAAGGAAAATTGTGAGAAACTTATTTGAAAATCACAAGGAGAACATTAAGCCTGCACTAAGAAGTAGGAGGCAAATCTTTTCTTTAGAGAAATGGGTGAAAAATCTCAAAAATGGAAGAAGTGAAGAGGAAGTTACTACCACTACACAAGATTATTACCTCCAGGCAGGCTGAACAGGAGTCCAAGTCTTGAAAACTGGAGAAATCAGTGACAAAATAAAATACATATCCGTAGATTATAACACATCTTGGCAGCAGGGTTGGGTTTGAGGTTTTTTTTCCTAATTTGAGTTGGCTACATTTGTAGTAGTAAAGCAAGCAGTGCCAGACCCTGTTTTCCAGAATGGAGGTCAACTGAAGCAGCCTGGCTGCTCAAACGCAGGCTGGTGACATCCAAACCACCTACGGTGAATGGTCCCAGGCTCTAACTCTAAACTGTTGGGAGACTGTTACTCTGGGCCAAGACCGAACCAGGAAGATGTTAAGAATTTAACAGAATGGAGAAGAAAGGGATGAGATCCCGCTCTAACAGTCTTTAATTTAGTTGTATAGTTAGCTGTGGTACACAGCAAACTTCACCTTCCAAATCCATTGATGGAAGGTAGAAAAAAAGAACCTAACTGGTTCTGAAGGCCTTTAGACACCTATCTTGGCCAGCTCCACGTACAACGGACTGTCAGCTTAGTCTCAACAGCTATATGAGAGCCTAGCCACTTACCTCACTTACAGAAACATTTAGACACTGACATTCAGGTAGCTGAATCTGAAATGAATCCAGCTCCAGATATCTGCAGTCATTTAGAGAGTTACTTGGAAAGTATCTGTTTAAAATGCCTACTTCTTTCCATTGACTGCTGAAATACCCTAGGGCATGGGATTCGTCTTGCCTGCCATGCAGTTGCCTACAAGTGAGCCTTTTTTTTTCTACTCTCCCATTAGGAGAAACACAGACTCTAGACACGCTTAGAAAAGATGAATCCCACAGTAGGGTGGCCAGCTTGCTCATCTTGGACTTAAACAACTGACTCTTAGGCCATAAAGTTTGAGGAGATGAATTATCTATTTTGTTTATCCTAGGCCATGCTCGGGTTGTCCACAGCTAAGTTCCCTCTCTTGCTCCTGGGTCCCTTTTCATAAATCCTCAGTTTCTGCAGGACCCTCAGTTTCTCAGCAAGATTGCAGTTTCACTTGTCTGGCATATGTGGAGCGACACCACCCTTTCCCTGGCGTTTCGTCTCATCTCATCTCTGACTGCAGTCAGGCTGACACTTTTTTAGCCTCTAGATCAGTAGTGTTGGGAAAGCTGTAGCAGTAGGATCTTTGGGAAGGACAATTTCCTTGGATCTTCCAGCTAAGAACAGGAAGCTCTTTCCAGAGTGGTGGGCACAGCAGAAACCACTGTGATATGACATGTTGCCTCCACCAGGAAAGCTGGCTTAAGGCACCGTTATCCCCTCCCTCTCTCCTTCATGGCTGCACGCTCCTGTCCCCGTGCCAGGTCAAAATGATCTGGGTTAAAAATATTCCTCCTTTTTTTTTTTCCCCTCCTGGATAGTGGGTCATCTGAACCCAAGTCATTTCAGTCACCTGGTTCAGAAAGTGCCACCACAAATGGTTGTAACATTACCCCCGAGGAGCTGGCACACGGCACTGCGAAGGTGGAAAATGTGGCCAGGAGCAGGGTAACTGCTCCACTTGGCTGCATTGCTAGGGACAAGTCAGGCTAACATGTGAGAAGAAATGGAAGTACAGGTTAGTCTATGTTACAAAGAGATGGAAAAGAAGTGAGAAGAATCTCAGGTTTGTCAGGAAACTCCTCTGGGAACAGAAGAAAAAAGGAGTTGTCATGCCCTGAATTTATTATAAGAGTCCACCGCAATTGGCACATTCACCGAATCATCAGCACAAATGCATCTTCTGATCCCACTCATACCCTAATTATTTATGCATTTATTAGTTATATTATGATAATGCTGAGGATCCCACATCACGAGCAGGACCCTGTTCTGTTAGGAACTATGCAACCACAAGGTGCTACCTAAGGGCTGTCTTATTTTGTTGAATCCCTGGTTATTAGGTAGGGAAAAGTTAAGCCACCTGGGACATGCCTCCTGGGAGAGCGTGGGAAACTCCATTACTAGAAGTTTATTTAGGGATTTTATACCCAGCTGCAAAACACTGAGATTCTGGACTTCTGTCACAAGTTGCCTCCCATTGACCCAAAACAGTATCTGATGTATGAAGTCCTTGAATGGCTGAACAACATTCTTCTACATCACCCCTTCATGTAATTAATGGGGAAGTAACTAATGTGACAGTAACTACACGAGCCCAAAGGATTAAGGTAATGTGGGTAAACTATCAGCCCCATGAGTTAAAGGATTTGCATCACAGGGAATGCAAACGCTGATGTGATAACACCTGTTAGAATAACTGACCAGTACCAGAGATACTTGCCTTCTTCCCATCAACAGTGTAGAGCTTCTTCACTGGGAATTGCAGGATCTCTGAAATCTCATCCAGGAGCGTTTTGAAACTCCTGGCATTTCTGCGGTTCAAGATAATTGAGCGCCGAAAACCACTTTCTCCATTCTTAACTAGAGTGATTTTCTTGGGTATTCTGGGGCCATGCTGAGTGAAAGGTGTGGAATAATCTTCAAGCTTGCCCTCCTGAGCTGCTCTTCTTAAGGTACTGGAGGGACGACCACTTCGTGGAGGGCCTGGCCTGTGTCCCCCAGAAGTAATGCTAATAGGCTTGACGTATTTCTTGTCGGAGCAAAGGTAGCATCCTCCATCCTCCAGCTGGTCCAGCTCACTGATGCAATGTATTCCTCGTGGGGTGGTGATGGTCCGTACCCCAAATGGCAGTGGGACCCGATGAGAGAGGTCATCCATAAGTGCATTGAAGCTCTTGAAGCTTCGCTGGTTGATGGCCATCTTGACTCCCGCAAACTGAGGATCTCCACTCTTGAAGAAGGTTATTTTTTTGGCTGGGGGTACCTTGGTGACAGTGCTTGTCCGAGCCACGGGGGGAAAGGGCTGCTCATAGTTGTAGGAGCTGGTGGTTGACAGGTAGTCAGCAGGCACCTGAGTCATCCCTCTTGCTTAAAGGTAACTACAAGAGAAGCAAAACAGAGTAGGGTTTGTTTGAGTCATGCAGAATCAGTGCCTGACTAGCATGGGAGCAGATTGTTTTCCTCATAACAGTTTTACCATCTATGCTTGATCAAGAGCAGATTGTACCAACATGGAATTATGAACTCACTGGCTCAGGTAGATACGAGGAAACACAGCAGGACGAGCAGCCATAACTCTGCTCCTCACAGTTAAGCCATCCCTGTCCTGCAGATACCGATGAGAATTCAGTCAGTGTGGGTCGCCCCTGAGGCACAAAAAGCATGAGTCAGACCCCAAACAAAACCCACAAAAACTGATATTTGTGTATGGTTGTCCTTTTGAGTTTTGTGTCTTCCTTGCTTATATTTTTGAGGTTTTCTCTGAAACTACCAGAGCCAGTAATTACTTCAGTTTTATTTTTACAAGCAGAGAGCTGAGATTCTCATGTAACCCTTCAACCCCGAGAACTGGAGCGTAACAAAAAACAAGACAAAACTGAATTTGTCCATATAGTGATTGCTCATTGTAGCACACAACCACTGCTGAGTGTACCGAGGGGCAGAGTAGCCTGGTTTTAGAACATGTGGCCATGCCAGAGTGTGCTAAGGCAAGATATGGATGAAAATCCATGGCAGTAATGCAGACAAATATGGTAAGAAATATCACAAGGCTTCAGATAGAACTACAAAAGTTCGTTCTGCTAAACAGTGGAAAAATTGGAATTCAGCCTCATAAGCACAGGTGTGAGGAGAATGATCTGCCCAATTTGTGTCGGAGCGCCTGGTGTCCTTTCTTTTTAAAGCTAAATTGATTTTAGTGCTTAAGTCTGGAGGTTGAAACCCACCTTTTGGAACCCAACTGTTTTTAATGTCTTTGCTGTGATGGAGACAAGTGGAAAAGAGACTGGACTCTACTTTTTCTTGCTTACCCTTATCAAATGCATTGTCTTGGAAGTCAATCACTAAAATATTCAGACCCCTCAATGGAACGAAACTACTATGCCAAAAAGGAAGATGCTTTATTTTTGACATGGAAAAAACCCCCAAACAACGCTATTTACAACTGCCAAAATATTGGCTGTAATGAGTACGATGAATGTCTATTAAATGCATATGAACAGTAATTCCCCAGTTCACTTTGAGTTAGTTACTCAAACTTAAATGGAGGCTCTCAAAATGGCATTTAGAGATGTCATCTTCTGATCAGAAGTTACTGCTCACTTATAGGCAGCAAACCATTTGAACTGTTAGTAAGGAATACAGTAGCTTGTCCTGTAGCATGCAGAAGGTGGTTCTGGCTACAAGCGCCTACATCCAATTTGCTTTCCAAATTATGTTCTTAGTTGATAGCAGTTTTCTATGGCAACTTCAAAAAAATCTCTCACAAGAAAGAAATTTTTTAGTGTTCACAAATGACTTAAAAAACAATAAATGTATTTCTAATTACGTTTCCTTCAGTATGCTCCTGGTTACACTTCTTGCAACAGTTGAATAAAGTTCTAGTTTCAAGAAATAGTCACTCTATTCACAAATTATTCTTTGGAGAACCAGTTCAGTGACCACTGTAATTAATTGGAATTTTGTCATTGATTGCAGAGGTGCAGCATTCAAAAAGCTGTAAACGCCGATTTTCTCCACATTTTAGAATAAAACCATTATTTTCTTACTATGCTACTCTTAAGTGAAATATTTGTGCACTTCGTACTACAGCAAATTCACTCCTGCAATAAATGGAAGTTTAACCTAGGCTAGATGAGAAAAGACATTAGGCACGTTTGAAAGATTATTATTTTGAAAATCTCTGCTTTTATATATCCATGCACACTGACAAAGATTGCAGCATGATTTATTCTTTCCATGTACATATTTCACCAAGCAATTATTCACTTATTTATTTCCTAGCTAAAGGTCAATCCATCACTCTATCTTCCAGGAAAAAAAAAAAAAAAATCTAATTTCTCTATTTTTCAACAGCTTTCAGAAAGGTGGCTCTAATTTTTTCTCCATGAGTCCTACATTAGAGCTTTCAGACACCGGCAGCATAATTTCCAAACAAACCCAGACAAATTGTAGTCCCTGGACCAGTGGTGGTCCACAATATGCTGCCTACACTCCCAGAAATCTACCTGCTTCCCAAGGATTTATTCTACCTTTTTTCAAGCTGTTAAATCATATTGAAAGAAGTATAAAAAATTAAAACATAGGACAAACCGTAACATACTTTCCCAATACTAATTTTCTTTGGGAATAATTTCACAAGACTGTTAAGGGATCATTGTAAAGGAACATTGTCCCTTAAGTTTGGGGTGGTACAGTTGGTTACCCACCCAAGCCTAGAGGGTCTGTCAGATCTGCTCTTATGAAGCAGTATATAATGTGAAGAAAGAGCTTTCCACAAAAACCTTGCATGAAATATAAACAGTTCCCACAGGGAGAAGTTTTGTATTGTCCATTTGAAGTTTCAGAATGGGAAGGGGATTCTACTGAATATCTGGCAAGGCAACAAAAATGGTCATTTGGCCCAAATACCCCTTTTTACAGATACATAACAGAGGAGTCTCAATGCATATTTTTGTACTTACATTTAAATACTTCATGCCTCTTGCTCAAGATGACTTTTTCTTATAGAATATCCAAGAGATTAAAAATAAACCAACAAAATAATTAAAAAAAAACCCCAACACAGCCAAGAACCACCTCCAGGACCTAATGCACTGGACAATGCAAGGAAAAGCATTAGCAGGTTACATGCTGTCAATCAAACTGTCCTCAAAATGACTGACCACAGCTTGGAGGGTTAATCAGGACTGTGTTGCTAAGGATAGAAAGAAAAGCTACCTAAGCTGCTGGAGAAGGCTCTCAAATCCACTCAGGTATAAATCTGACTCAGTGACACTCCTCTCAAATCATACCGGTATAAGTGAGAATGCACTCAAGGCCAAAGCCGTAATATCTTCCTCTTGCATAAAGGCCTGCAGAGATCTGGATAACTTTCTTGATCCACCCCATTCATCAAGTCATTAACCCACCCACTCATCAACCATATTTGGAATCAGATTTATCCTTTGGGTAACTCCAGGGAAATCAACGGAGCTAGAGTAAAGACGATGGTAGCTCTTAAGGGTTTGTGTATGTGTTTGTTACTTCTCAGCTGGTTGATAGTCACTTACTCAGGACATAGACGGCTGAGATTCATAATAATTTTTCAGTGAAATATTATCTTAACAGGAAAGACTGGTGAGTCCTAACCCAAATATTTTCAAGTTCATGGCAGATTACAAAGTCAGATTCTCAGATGAATGCTCAACAGCTGGATCACTGAAATTTGGGCATGAAATAAAGATAGACAAGCAACCCATCAATGATAAATGATGGGAAATTACTTGTTCTTTCATAATTCGCCTATGAGAGCCTTCCTGCTTTCTCTCACACTTCCTTTTTGCAAAGAAAATACACACACACACACACAAAAAATTGATCAGTTGGATTCAGGTACAAAATCAGAGGGAAACCTCACTTTTGTATGGACTGGAATTCTTGTCTTCTAGCAATATTTATTCATTACTTACATAGCACCTGTGCACCAATGTCACCTACAGCACTAAGCACCTTCTTTTGTAGAAAGCAATTACTTGCAGAGAGGTCAGAGTCATAAAGGGCTTTTATTGGAAGGGCAGGGATTTGGGGATCCTGCAAGAATAGGTTCATCAAGTTTTAGGTCTCCGATCCTCAACATGAATCTTCCAAATGTAAAGTTAGTGTTCGAGGCATTACATAGTCCTCCTTATACAGCATTGCTTTTCCACCTGTGGACAGCACACCTTTCAGGGTCCAGAGACCATTCCTGTGGGATCCTTGATCCAGAAGAACAAGGTCATCTCTCTGTAGGCTTGCATCTGCTATAAAAGGTCAGCAGCTCTACTGGAAAATTTGTAGGAGTCCATCCATGGGAAAGACTGAACCCCTCGTGGAGGCCATTCTACTCGATCAGGACTGTGCCAGGCAGCCTGGCCCCTATTTTTCAATTTCCCACCACAGTTCAAAATGACATCTCAAAAAGACTAAACCATAGCAGACAGGAACGTCACGTACTTCTAAACCGTATCAAACCTCTGCTATCCAACTTCACACGGGGGAAGCTATGTGACCATGTGGTTGGGCATCCATTATCCCTTAGCCAAAATCCAATATATCTGCAGCACATTTCTTCACATCAGCCTTCACCTTCTGTCCTTCACACTAGGCTTGTTATCTCTGAGGTTTTTTTGCAGCCTTCCCTCTGTTGGGGACATAGAAGAAGGAGAGGAATCCAGGCACCACTCTAGAAAATGCCTGAGCTGAGGCAGGGGAGCTGTCGGAGAACGTGACTCAAACGATTGAGCACCAAGTCTATAACCTCTATTTGAGAGATGAAAAGGCCTTTATGAGAAGCATCCAGATTTAACTTAAATACTTTAAATTATCAAGAGTCTACTCTGTCCAGCAGCAACAGTTCCAATAGTTAATCTCACTTACTGCTAAACATCTGTGCCTTTTCTCTAGCCTGAATATGGCTAGCGTCAATTTTTCTATGGCTTTTGTTGATAAATTAATGTGCAGACTTTTTTACTGGAAGTTTCTTTTCCCATACAAGTAATTGTAACTTCCATTTTTACAAAGTGATTTCTTCCAGACAGAAGAAAAATTTACAGGTCACCATTAACATCTGGAATGGGGCTAGTTGAAAAATCCAGGTGTGCGTTCTAGGGAAATCATGAACCAGATTATTTCATTTGAAATTTTTCCCAGAAAATGTGGGAGTTTCTGGCAAGAAAATTGAATCATTGTTTTGTAAGATCTAACCATATTTCTCTAAAAAGCCTCATTTCAATTTGCTCTGTGCCCTTTTCGAGAAAGAAAAATATTTTTTAAAATGTCAAAGTGATCTTATTAAGAAGGAGTAGTTATGGTCTGACCAAGTCAAAGTATTGTATGGAAAAT